GCTGCTTCTTTCGTTAGCGGTGATCAAGAAGATAAGAATAGCAACAACAGCAGAGACTACTGCAGCGACGCGCCGGCGGTTAACCAGGGCGGTAAAGAAAAAGTGGGCGCAAAGAGAGGTCCCACAGAAAGCAGGAAAGCAGAAAAAAGGACATAACGACATACAGAAGTATTTCGTACTGGCAGCAGAATGACTGCAAGTGACTGGGGTTGGTGTGGTACTGTGTGATGGACGGGGGGATGTAAGTGACAATGGTGGAGCTCGAGGTTACATTGAGGTGAAGAGAGAAGAGAGGAGAGAGAGAGAGACAAGAGGAGGGGGAGAAAATACAGGGATAAAAAAGATACATGCAAGTTGGGGGGAAAGAGCGACTGAGTGCAAGTCCTGCTGTGCGGGCAAGTGCACTGACGAGGGCATCGCACTTGCACTTTGGGCACTTACACGGCGGGTGGTGGTGGTGGGCAGGAGCGCACGGGCGCCTCGAGACGGCGGTGTGATTGGTGCGAGCTTGTGGACCACGGGAAGGTACGATGTGCACATTTTTGTGACCGTTGGCCAGAGCCATGCCGACAAAAGAGGAAAGCACCAAGGACCAGAAGACAAGACACGCAGACAGAGACAGAGAGAGATAGACAGAGACACACACAAGAAATGGAGGGTTGACCCTCGCGCCGATTGGCCATAATAAGGATGCTGTCTGGCCAGATGCAGACGACCAAAAAAGCACTAGCACGCCATTGGACAGAACGCGAGGAAGCTGCCCATCGCATGGAGAGAAAGCTGTCCAATGAATGTACCTTCCAGCAGTAATTCCGTTGCAAGATACTTTGCATGGTCTTTGCGAGGGCATGAGGTGTTGGGGGGTGTGAAGGAGGGAAGGCACGAGGGACAGGACCAGAAAATCACAGTTGAATTGCTGCAGGTAAGCGCCGACAGCCCTTTATTTTGATTGGCTGCGTGTTTATGGTCTCCTTCCCTCTTTCCCTCGAACAGCAGACCCCACCTTTTTCGCAGCTCCCAGTGCAACTCCCGACCTCCGTGGTCGCTCGCCCTCTGTGCCCAACGGCCTCTTATGCCTCTTATGCAGTGGGCCAGCATCATTGTCGGTTGAGGGACGTACGACATACAGAGTGTCGGAACACAGCGATCTCAGTCCGGTTTTCCTTGAATGCGCCGGCCTTTGGCCTGGCCGCGGCCTTGGGCCGCGACCGTTTCTCGCCTCTTTGCCACGATTGTCCAGGAGGCCTCGAACAGGCATAATCAACAGAGCAAGGGAGCAGAGCACAGAGAGCAGAGAGCAGAGAGCAGAGGCAGCTGAGAGAAAGGCCAACGACAATAAAGTCACGAGGCCATGTCAGCTGGGTTCTTCGTCGCAGTGCAGTGTGCATGTCCGCCCCAGTTTCCTGCTTTCCCTGCGCTGCTTTCGTGCAGAAAAGCAGGACACAGGGGAGAAGAAACGGGAACGGCCGCCGCATCGGCCGCGTTGTGCGCATGAAAATAGCGAGGCATTGGGGGGCGTCCAATGCTTCAAAGGAAATGACTTGCAAACAACATCCGTCCTTTCCCTCGTTTTCCCGTCCACCTCGTCACACAAACAAATGAATTGAATGCAGGAGCGGACACCCAGGCGAGCACAGTCGATGCGCCGTGCTGTGTAAAGGATGCAGGGGCTGTAATGATGTTGTTTTCTCTGCATGTAAACCGCACCGTTTTTGGTGTGCTCGCAATCTACGGAATGGCATGAAACGATTCCTCCGATTGCAAGCCGAGCTGTGAGCAGACCGCCTGAGAGGGACGTCTCAATTCACATATTTTCGTGAGTGCACGACAAGCGAATATACATACATTGTGCTTTATACGGCGTTCTATGTACAACACCATTCTGCAGCCAAACCATACACAATTGCGACTGCATCTGCAGTCGACAGAATGAGGCAAAGTCGACCGTAGAGTATGTGCAGAGAGACCCAGGCAACAGAAGGCTGCAGCCCAGAATGCAGCCCGACGTGCAGACTCGACGACCGTCCTTGTCTATCTGTTACAATCCGTCTTCCCCCTCCGCTTTTCGTCTTCCGCCTGTGCTTTCGTCCTCCGCAATGTACCCGACCTGCAGTCGTCTGGCCCCCAATGCTGACGAAAGAGGGGCTTCTGCTTTCTTTTCGGCAGAAACGTCGTTAGGCTAGTTTAAACCGACGGTGGCGAAATCAGCGGCAATGTCGTTCAGTTTAACAAAGGGTCCAACCGTCGGTGGACGGTGGGAGCTAGTTCAACCTAACGGTCCGTGCCATGGCTTACAAGGAGGGGGACACAGCAAAGGAGTGCTACGAAGGACATGTACAGAGGATGTCGTACTCTGTACGCCGTCCACTTTGCATAGTGTCATTCGGTGAGACAGTGATTGACGAACCAAACGACAGAAGACGGTAACGGCCAGGCGGAGCAGAGACGAAGCGAGCTTAAGTGAGGAGAGCAAGACACGGAAATACGCTACTTCCTTTCACTTGGCCATTTTTTATTTTTATTTTTATTTGCACCCGGCTTCTTGCGGAAAGGAAGAGGGGAGAACATGAGAATAAATCGAGTCTAGGCCGTCTCGGCCGTGTTGGTTGACGGTGCGTCTTTCGTCTTTTCGTCTTTTGTATGTTAGCGTCCGTTAGCTTCAGTTTGGTCGTGTAAGTCGCTGCCCAATGGCAGGCGGTAGCAGGGATTGTGTTCTCGATGCAGCAATTTCGGCGTGACCAGGCGAAACGGAAGAGCGATAAGATGGGCACATGACTTGTCATGTCGGGCTGACACAAAAAAAGGAAACCGAGAGTCAGTCCGCAGCAACTCGATGACGTCCGTCTTGACGTCCAATTGTCTCTCATAGCCTCCCACGGCCTCATTTTGTTTATTTTTCTCATTTCCTCTTCCTCCAATGGCCTCTCTATGCTGTATTTGGTTCGCCCTCGGTTGCTCCGCCGATCGCCAGGGTCAACAGAAACGAGGCCCGGATTTGCCTCTCGCAGGCAGAAGAGGAGCAAGGGCAGGAATCCACGAATAAAATAAAACGACGAAAAAAAGAACTCAACAAAAAGAGGCCTCGAACGACAGGGACTCACCGCCTCGTACTAGGTCACGAGGGTGTGTAGTTAGGCCGGGCCCAGCCAGAGCTCGCAGGGCCGGGGCTATTCGAGGCCATTTGACCATTTTCTGTGCATTTTCTCTCTTCATTCTTATTTTATGTATTACTCCATCTCGGAGCATCGTCCCTCATGACCCGTAGCCGATCTTTCAGGCCTGCGAATGAGAGTCAACAGTGGGCCTTTCTTGATGCTGAATGGTGAATGTCTTACGGGGTACGGAGAACGAGGTAGCACGACGTAATTCCACGGGTCTCTCGCAAGGTCGTGATGCCTACCAAAACACACAGCGTTTTCTCCAGGAGGCGGTCACCTCGTCCCCGGACTTGTAGCGGTTGCACGAGGTGTAGTGGCTTGTCACGCGGCAGCAGCACGAGGCAAGAACGACCCAAGACGCTGTGTGACTACTTTGTATGCATCGGAAGCGGGGCGAGAAAAAGCGTGTCAACACTTGAAGTGCATAGGTGGTTTCCGTTTACGGAATGCCAGTTGTGCACAAAGTGGAGTCGACATCGACAAAGGCCGAGCCGCAGTTTGGGAAGGAAGGAACGCCAGAGAGGACAGAGACAATCAAAAGAAGCAAAGAAGCAACACGTCGACATGAAGAATGCCGTCGCACTGCAGCTTCGTACGGGGCGGTCGTGCTCGTTGTGTCTCAGCTGTGGTTTTTGTCCAGGCCTGCAGTACACCGTCCGGTGGGAAGGCTGGGATAATAACACGACGATATGTCCCAAAGTCGGAAAGTCTCGAAAGTCCTTAAAAAAAGTCCTTTAACGTACGACATACAACATACAAACAATGCACAGTCCCAATGCACCGTCCCGGGCGGCGGTCCAAGGTGAGGCCGCAGCAGCTGGTCGCAGCCGAGTGCAGTGGAGCGGTTCAGTGGTACCGTGCAGGATGCAGCACGCACGGCTGCACGGATGTTGTGGTCCAGTCCATCGAGACGTAGACATAGACACTCACATGCGTGCATGTGGCGTAAATGTGTGACAGGACACGGCAGACGTGGAAACACAAAAGTGTCTTGGATGCATCTCTGTAGAACGTTGGGCAGATTCAAGGCGTTGGCTCTCCCGGGCAGGTGCGGCTTTCTTGAGGCGCCTGCAGGTGGAACAGTCGTACTTTTCCAGAAGTGTCTCGGGATAGGGAGACACAGAATAACACAGACAACGAACACAGACAACGAGATTCGACTGGCCATCCACATGGCTTGGGAAATGTTTCCTCGCACAGACTTGCAGGTACCGTCAAGGAATGGCTTGCCAGTGAAAATGAAGAAATGAAACGTGAACAACGTACGGTACTCTGTACTGGAAGGTTATTTTTTTTAAAAAAAATAATAAGAGACGATGTTTTATTTAGTTGCTTACTTTACATTATATATAAAGTATATTTCACTATTTTGTTGTGATTGTTTTACTCTACTACGTTTTTAAATATGACTAAATTGTTTATCTTTAAGACATTGAATATAATAATTTTGAAATATTCCCGTGTGGATAACTTGAGCATCACATCGACTGCATGTCATGCCTTCCACCAGAAGCCGCCTCATTCCGACACCGGCAGTCTCTGTAAATAATGACAGAACCTAAATATGAGTGCTCTTAGTGACCACAGTGATGTTGATTGTTTGCTTGTATCACATATCATATCTCTGTCTTCGCTTGCAAACTTTGAGTATTTACCATTCGGTGACTATATTCATGCCTTTTGACACAATCAAACACGGATAACCTCACATCCAATCGCCTCCGGACCAAAAGGCACGCTGTACGTCGCAACCCTTCAGTCTCACATGATGAAAATGCAATGCGGCCTTTTCGTCCCTCTGCATTTGTTTGCCTTTCCGTTTGCTTCTCTCCCCCTTTCCCGTCACATCTCGCGATCCTGCACGACAAAGTTTGCTGCGGCCGTGAAGCAGGTGTCGATTCTGGCCTCGGGTTGGTCTGCTGGGCCAAATGTGTGATGAGACGGAGATAGGGTCCTGTGGGTTGCGGGTTGTGGGTTGCGGATTGTCGGGGTGCATTGTCCAGTGACAGCCGGCATTGTGACAGGACACTGGACATACGGCACAGGCGTCAAGTCTCTGTGCATGTTGAATTCTACGCTGTCAATGGGCAGGCCCTAGGGAGTATTCGTACTCGGTATTTGAAGTCACTCCTCTTCATTTGTGGTCGCATGAATGCTCGTTGTTTCTTGTGAGCTTCAGCTTGAAATGTAGGTGAAAAGAACGAAATAAAAAAGAAGGAAACAAAACACTGCCTTCCCGTCCCGCGACTCCTTTCAGCTCTCGTTTGCGAATGGATTGTGATGGTCGCGTTATTTTCTATGTTCTATTTCCCGCTCAAAAACGGAAATGGCTGGCTCAGCACGCCTCGAGGCTGGACTTGCCTATATCCAGCCATATTTACGAAATACTTTTTCATCCACTTTGCCTCTCGCTTCATGCCGTCGTATTATTGACCCCCGCCTGCCAATATTTCCATGCCCGTTTGCATTTGTGCAATTGTGCATCTGTGCGCAAAGACCTTGTGAGAAGGTGGTCGATGTGGATGTTGCGGATGTGATGGAGAAAGGTTTCTTTTTGCCATCGTAAAGACATGGGTTGTTCAGCTGTGATGAGACGGGGCAGACGGGGAAAACGAGAAAAAAAGATTGCGAAAGATTAGATTTCGAAAGAGACAAGCCCCCAAACCCCCAAAGGCAGATTAGATGCCCCCAAGAAACTAATGTCGCTTTGTTGCTTCCCCGGCCACCACCCTGCCACTCGCTGCCACTCTCTCCTACTGGCACGTCCTGTCCGCGGTGGTTCCCTCGCTGCAATGATCTACGACGCCCCCTACCCTTGCTCCCTCCCGTCTTGCATGAACAGGCCAGGCCTGGCTATTGTCGTCACTCGTATGCGCAGCGTGTCATTTCATCTTCAATTTTTGGCCCCCAACTATTGTGGGTAGAGGGCACTAGCGGTCAACCGTCTAAACTGTAAATCGTACATAGTACATGCATTGTACGAAATATCGTGGTGGCCATTGGACGCACGGGCATCCATTTAAGCCTGTCTTACTTCAGCCTCTTACGCACACTGGAAAATTAACGGTTTTCGACGTAGTCCTCGTCTACCGACTGAATATTCAGTTGGGGCAGAGACGAGTAACAAAACAAGTTGGGGGGGACACATGCTCTCTTACACTGACGTACATTTATTCATTGATTCTTGAGGAGACTCGCCGCCAGTCAACCGTGGTTCCCAGTGAGGGGGATGTGCAGGCGATCCATAGTTCACATCGGACAGTTGCATTATCGAAAAGGAAACGTCCGACGTCAACGTAGCAGTTTGCCATGGTCCAAACTGTCACCAAACCGTAACTACAACTACAAACCCTTGTTCATCGCCGACCAGAGACATCCTTCGTTGACCGGCAGTATTGTCTACTTCGTATTGTCCACCGCCCGTCGTGTATTGTTTCTGTCTCGCTTCTCAGCTCGCCGGGCTTCAAAGTTGTCACGTCAGCGGAGTCCGCAGCTTTCGTGTGGCTCTCCGTCAGGCCTCGCGTCCTTTTTCTCTTCTTCTCTTTTCATTTCCCTTGAGGAGCGTAACGTAGCGCATTTCCTTTCTGAGCATCATCCCGTTTACCATTTGGAGATGCGATCAGCACGTAGAGACGCGTGATTTTCTTTTGTCGTCCTCGCTCATCACCTCGCTTCTCTTGCCCTCTTTCGATCATGGCCTTGTGGTCTCTGCTCTGCCGGCCACTTTCGTCCGTCACCCCTATGTTCGCCTCATTTTGTTGTGCGCGACCACGTTTCTCCTGTCCCCCCGTCTCTTCTACCTTTTTATTGTCTTCCCCTCCCCTCTCCCCTCTTCTTCTTGATCTGCTTGATGTGCACCCCTCGTTCGGTGAGCTGCATGACACTAAAATAAACGGTCAACATCTAGAAAGAAACCGTTCGTTTAGGATGCATTGGCGTGAAAATGGTTCATAGTCGATACTACTGCGTACGACTCACGGATCGTTGCTCCGAACGGAGACATGTCCATGCTCCGTTCTGACTACATATGCATGAAAATCGTCACCGTTGTATCGTGCGAGAACAGACAAAGGATCGTATGGACAAAGTGTGTGGGATGGTCTGAGTTCTTTTTTTTTTTTTTTTTTTTACCTTTTAATTTTTCTGGCAGGCTGGACCTGGTCAACTCCGCAGAGTCCACATTCTCCACCGCCCGTTGCCCTTTTTCCGTTAAACAAAACCTTCCAAACTCCATGTGCAGGGCAAGGCCTGTCTGACAGATTGCCAGTGCGTTGTAGCGGGTAGCTGTCCCCCAACCCGTCTCTATGTGGACATTCGCCGCTCGCGGTCCTGCGTCGTCTTGCAGTGAGAGCAGCCCACGGCATTCTACATATCAAGCAGCGATTTAAGCTTCATTCTTTTGCCACTCTCGGCCACTAAACGTTAACGTGCATCCAACGTCAACGAGGCCAAGACTTTTGTTTCGTTCTAGGAGAGACAAGGAACATAATCACAAAATAAATGTGCCAAAACAAAAGCAGGAAACAATGCCTCATTCGTCTCCAAAAGGCGCGCAATGCTGCTCAGTTTGGTCTAGTTTTGGCGTATTTTGACAGGCTCTCGTTGGATGAGACTATCTTCAACTTGACCATTTGACCTTTTTGACCATGTGAACATACTATTTGACATTTGGCCATGGCCGGTGTACTCCGTACATGCACTTGCCTTTCTTTTACTTTACGTTTCTTTCTTCACGTTGCACGTTTTTGTCATCCCCTGCCACGCAAAGCCCTGAGCTTGTAAAATTGGCAAACTCAATCACCATGACTAGCTTCAAGACAAAAAGACCCTGGACCTGAAAATGCACAATCTTTTCTTTCGAACATGTCCAAGTCACACTGCGCTAGCTTGCGTGAAAACAAGTCGACGTACATCGTAGCCTGAAAAAGCACAATCCCGTTTATGGTTTTTGATCACATCGGATCAGCGGGCTGTGTATGGGACGATGAAAGTGCCCCCGGTCCAGAAACCAGCCTCCTTTTCTTTCTCTTCATGGCAGTGGCGGAAAGAGGAGATGCCGACGCAAGATGAAGACGCCCGAAATCTGCTTCCATCTCTGCGACGATCCTCCTCACAGTTCACCTCTCCATTCGGTCCACTACGGAGCACACTGTATCCTCTCATTGTCCATGGCTGGCGGAGAATTTTGCCGTAGCACCAAAACAGTAAGAGACCGTCTTCAGTGAGAGGGCGACAATGGCAGGCTAGGACCAAGAGAGAACAGAGCCCCCGGAGCATCAGTCCGATCCTGGTGACCAGGGGCAGGGATTGTGTGATGAGACAGAACGACTGCACTAAACGACACCCACTGAGCTAGCCTTGCTTGTTCAGCACAACCCATCTGGACAAGGCATTTGCCCGCAGGAAATTGCAAGGCCGACTCCTCTTTTCTCTCCGTCCACTTTGCGCCTCTCTCTCTGTTTGTCTGACAACGGCACGCACGGCATATTGGTCGATCCGTGCAGGGTTGGTGCATAAGAAAAGAGGACCCTGACTCAAGAGAACAAAGAACAAGAAGAGGAAAAAGCATCGAAGACGACGAAAAACAGCAAATCATCAGCGAGAGCTCCAGACATCGTGCAGGACGATGGACAAGGTGATTACGACCTAGTTTAGCTTTTCACGACGATGCCGGCGGTTCTTGGCTTCGCCTCGGCTGTATCTTGAACTTTAGTTTGACATACAACGAAACGAGAAAGACCGCGATGGGCTGTACGTTGCACGGCGCCGGATGGAATGAATGGCTTTGTAAGGACCCTTGCCTGCGATCGTCCCCATGTGATGCGTGAATTGCGGACATTGTCTCGACAGGGAAAGACGCCGTACGAAGGCGAGCAGGATGGAGTAGCTCGTAAAACGAACGGACGCAACGACGGTCGATGATCGCCAGAACCGTCGTCCCATAGTTTTCGTTTACCCGTTTCAATGTCCAGCGTCAGGGCTCTTTACTTTTCCTGTTGCTGTTGTCGGCTCGGTCCCGAGCGGGTCTGTTGGCTGTTGGTTTCGTAGTCTGTTTATCCTTCCTTCGATCGTCCTTTTCTGGTGGACAATCTTAGGACGGGACGAGCCCATCAAAAGACGGGAAGGGGGCGAAAAAAGGAAAGGGGAAGAACGACAAGCAACAGACAAAGAACGGTGACAGGTCGCAAGGTGATGATCGTGTCGCCGTAGTGAGGAGTAGTTTTCCCTAGTGAGACGACTAAACTAGCGGCTGTCCACTTTATTGCAACGGGCAGCGTGTTGGTGGAAGGGAGAGTAAGACTAAAACAGTGGACAAAAAGACAGAGAGTGTTGAACAAAAGAAAGACCAGGACAGAGGCCAAGAGGCAAAACGACTGGAGATAAAAGGCTGTGCCGCACAACTGCAGCCGGGTTTTGTGCCTTTATATAAATACGAAGAGCGGGAGAACGCGAAAGGAGATAAAAAGAAATAAAGCGGGACATGAAGGAAATATAAAATAGATGGAGGATCAAGAAGAAAGAGAGGATAAAGAAGAACAGGGTGTTGTATGTTGTACTCTGTGATAATAACGAACAGGAGAAGGAGAAAAAACAATGGCGTCCTTGTCCTAGGGAGAACGGGACCTGGCAATAAAGTGGAAGAGAACGAGAAACACCAACTAAATCGATCTCAAAGGATGCCGTCAGACCTCTTGGCTGTTGGCTGTTGGCTGTTGGCGGCTGAAGGCAACGGGACTGATCTGGAACTGTATCTGAAATGGGGGCTGGGCCTGGGGGCTGTTTTATGGACACCGGCGGCAGCTGAAGGCATGTTCGTTAGGGGATATCCAAGACTTTCAGTGGACTCCGTTTCCGTTGGGGGCTGGTCCTGCCCAGAAATGAACGAGTCTGCAGCGCTGGAAGCATGGCAGCAGCGTGGCAGGCACTGCAGAATATGCCGAGCATTGGCGGACTGGGCACCATCCATGGCCAGCACGCCGTCGAGGACGTTTAAATTGTGTGCAGATCGGAGAGGCAGAAAAACTCCCGTTGTGGCCAATGCTTTTTTAGCGTGGGGAGGGCATGGGCTGGAAGGGCAGAGAGTGGAGAGTGGACTGGGCTGGCCAGGAAGAGAGGCAGGCCTTGCCTAACAAGGGAAACGGCCTGTCGCATTGCTGGGCGACGGGCGCTGAGCCTGTCGAGAGTGGCACTGAGGCCGGAAGACGTGGAGATTTCAGATGCAATGGAGAGCTGGCGATGTAAGACAATCGTGCCAAGTAATTACACATAGAAGGAGTGTCCGTCATGGCAATGCATGAAAAGGGCAAGAACGACACAGGCAGAAGGAGCGTCCGCAATGACATCGGATCAAAGGCAAGAACGACACACAGGCAGAGGGAATGCTGACCAACATTGGAAGGAGCGCAAAGACACAAGAGGAGCACAATACTGGCCTAATTTGCGACAGGGCCTCATAAAAATAGATATGCAATATTGGATGATCATTCACAAAACGAGCCAGCATTGACAAAGGTGGTCCAGACGCGTGATGAGACTCGACTGGGCGAGACGCAGAGCAAAGACGTCGGCGCGAAGGGCGGCGGTTTCGACGGCCAAAATTAGCCCAAAATGCCCTCTGCTCTTTCCCTGTGTTGCTGTTTCTATATCGGGCCAATTCTTGAGGGCGGCTAACAAGTCCTGTGAGGAAAGAGCGAGGGGCAGACTCGAAGCAAAGGATGAGAAAGACGATGTGGGCAGCTCTTCTCCCTCTCCCTCTCTCGACGATGTACACACATGTATCTAATCCCGTCGTCACACTCGGACCCCTGTCCGTCACTGCATCGGCCAGCCAGTGAACCAATGTCCATTGCCGCTGGACCTTGTGATCCGCGTCCAGGACGTCCAGAAGAAGGCAAGTGGAGACGTTGGGGGTGACGAGGCGGGGCGCTACTGCCGTTTGTGGACTGGCGTCGACAGGGGTCCAGCGTCCGCGCTAGCTGACGGTTGGTCCCGGTACGCCAGTCTTTTTTGTCTGTTTTGCAGACAAGCAAGAAACCCATGCTCCAAAAAGACGCAATGCGACGTACAAAGTGGTGAACTTGGAGAACGCAACACACTGCACGCACTGATGCACGGCCATTGTCTTTTCGTCACATTTTGGCCCCACACACAACCAGCCAATCACCGCCCAGAAGCGGCTGGTCAAGAAAGCACCCCTGTTCAGCTGTACACCCACTTTGCTGTTTGTCACTTGTTCTTGTCCAAGTCACTCTCCCCCATTTCTCTGTTTTCTGTCCTGACGATTTTGTGCTCTCTGTTGCATTTCGGTCATTTCTGTTCTGCTGCTGTTGTTCCCTGGTCTACCGTTGAAAAGGCAGTGCCCTGCCGTCATTATACGTACTTTGATAGACATGACGTTTTGGTAAATTTTATCCATGGAAAGGAAAAAGACGCTGTCGGAAGCATATCAAGAGTACAAAATACAGTACTGTGTATTACGGAGTACTTAGTACGTACCCCCACAGCACGGACGCGAGACGGTACTTGCCCTTGCGCATCCTGGCCATTAAGCTCTCCAAGCTACGCCGGCAAGAACGGTTAAAGCTGTCTTCAAGAATGTGAAAAGTGACTACGGAGGACAAGGATTGATGTATCGGCGTTTGGTCATTCAGTGTTGAGTACTCGAGTCGTTTGTCTTCGTTCTCGACAGGCTTTGTCCTCTTGAATACTACCCTCCGTCTAGCCAATCCGCGTCTCGACCTGTCACTTCTTGCTGCTGATTCGTCCGTTGTCGTCCAATGAGCATATCAACCGATTCCCAACAGAGACGAGGATGAATAGGCGAGAGTATTGCAAATGAAGTTCGTGATCCAATTCAGACGTGCTAGCAGACCGCGTGCCTTGTTCGCATTGCTTTGGTTGGCTTGTACTGTGTAAGCTGCCTCATCCGGCATCGCATCTTTATTCCACCGACTTGCAAACAGCGAACTCACAGTCTTGGACAATGCACTGCTTTTGACAATGCTGTCTCCCATTCGTAGGACAGCAGTTTCTCCGAAAATGCTTCTCACGGCCTCGCAACAAATCATCTCGACGACCTGATCTAGCCATATCCTCTCCATCAGCGACAGCCCTGCAAAAACAGCCCTAGGGCAAACCGGGTCCGATCGGAGAATGGGTCCTCAGCACGGGTAGCAGAGCATGCTTCACTTTGTTTTTCTTGGCCCACGTCGACCCGTCCCCCATCGACCGTCCTCTTTCCCGCCCAGCGCAAGTTTTTTCCCTATTCAGCCCGTGCTCACCAGATGTCCACGGTTGCTATATTCCCTTGTTCCCTTGTCCACCGCCTTCGTCCCCCCCTCCCCTGCAAAGACAAGGGTCATGAGGGCACGTTCACTTGTGCACCACCACAGTCGGGCTCCACTCTAGTATTCGGTGTGCACTCTTGCACCATCGGAAGCGGGCGAGAGAAGAAACATAACGAGAGAGAAGAAAATAGACCCGTCGGGCAGAAACAGATCCTCTTCGCATGCACAATCTTTATTTTCAGATGAAAAAGCCGAGAGTAGGATGCACACTTTTGGTTTGTTCCTTGCGGTGTCTTCTCTATGTTCCGCTCTTTACGCCGTACTTCTCATTTCGGGTCCTCTCTCTCTCTCGCTCTCACTTTCTCAACTCTTCGGCAGTCTGGTCACGGTGAGGCATGTTTCTGTGCAACGGCGCACGGCGGGTATGTGTCCGTCCAGAAAGAGAAGCACTCTTTGAAGAGGGAAACACAATCAAGCACGACAGACCGGTAGCTGCAGAACTGTAGTACATGCTGTCCTGCAGAACCGTCACACAATCTCTTGTACTATGTCTCTCCCACCTCGTGCTTTGCTCCTGCCCCGGGATTCCTCGTTGGGCAACGTCCATTGCACCTGCCCGTTATCTAGTGGGGAAAGCTGCTCTTTCCTTTTTCGACACAACAGAGTGTGAGAGGGCAATCATAGCTTGAACCAGTCAGCGGCAAGAGCGGCCTGCTTGAAGACCGTCGAGCTTGAAGCCTGCGTTCTATTTCGAGCAGGAGAGCTCGACTGTCTGCTCTTTTCGTCTCGACCCACTCGTCCCGGAACCAATAAGCGCAGGGCCGCTCTTTCCTCGTCCTCGTCGCTCACCACCTTTTTCCTTCTGAGCATCGCACCTTCCCTCGATCGTCTCCGCTCCTCCCTGCACGTCCTCTCCTTCCTTCCATCTGCAAGTAGACTCTCCTTTTGGACTAGCGCACCTGCCCGGCCATGTATGAATGAGTCCGACAGACATCCCCAATATCCACAGCGTTGCCATTTTGGCTTCTTCCTCTTCCAACACACCACCACCACCACCACCACCAACGGCATCCATGTAGCACCACGGTCGGCCGGCCGCCGGCCTTCTGACAGTCGACCGCTCTCCCACTCGCTCTCTCTCCCTCGTACTATTCTTGTCCGCCCGTCTGCCCGCCTGCCCGCCTGCTGCCCCCTCCCCCATCTCTCGCCCTTCCGTCCAAAAAAAGCAATGCTCGTTGGACAGGCTCCATTTCTGTTCTATTCTTGGAACAGGCTCTCACATAGTGTCGCCCTGCTCGTCTGTGTCTCCCCATCGACCGACGTCCCACCCAATCTGGCGTCTACGTCGCGCGATGCACGCTGCACACCCGCCCAAAATAACAAAAACAGGCGCGGCCATCGCCAGCGCGGCCACGATATAAGTCAATGGGCCTCCCCGTCTGGTTCTATTCTGGGCCTCCTTCTGAATTTTTTTCTCGATCAAGCTCAAGTTGTTGTTATCAAGTGTTCGTTTCTGTTTTCCTGTCTGTGTTTGCTTTTCTCTCTTCCCCCTATCCTCTTTTCCTCTTCACATTCGCCAGCCTCGACCTCTTTTGGATCCTCGATCTTGACCGCGACGACTCTCAATTGTCGATGCTCGATACTCGATACTCGACGACCTCGTCTCTCGATCGCCATCCACCTGGCAACCCTCGTCAGTGAACAGCAAGCCGGTTCTTGCTCGGATCTAGTCCATCCTTCGACTCCTATTGCTTTACTCATACAAACTGTGTACCGTCGGGCACGAGAAACACACCAGCCTCTTATTATCTAATCTCCCTGGCACGAACCACAGCGTTCGCCTGCACTCTTGTGCTATTTTTCATTTAATTTTGTCCGCTCCACGATCTACGGGACTACCGGTCTGGTCCCCCATTCACCACCCTTGATACCCATCATTTCCTTTTTTTTTCTATTTTATTTTCTTTTACCCTCTTGTCATCGACTTGGGGTTCTCTGCTGGCTTTGACCCCCTCGTCCTCGACCTCCACCCTCCCACACCATTTTAATTCTTTTATTTTTTTATTCATCCATCCTCTTGTCTCTTCCACCCACCCCCCTCCCGTCCAACCCCCGGTTTTTTTGCTTTGCAAGGTCCTCCCCCCCATCTCCACCCATACCTGACCTTGTGCCTTGTGCTTTGTGCTCCTGGCTTTCCTTATCAAGCAATCAACCATACACCTCCACCTCCCGCAGCACAGCTCCCTCGTCTTATACAAATGTCGACTCTGTCCCCCAACCACACACACTCGATCGACAGCATCGTGAACATGAAGGCTGTTCCGTCGACAACAAAATCCACAAAGACGACCACAACCACAGTCAACATGGCAGTGTCTGCAGCAACAAAGCCCAAGGCGGCTTCCGCAAAATCAAAGGCCAATGCCGCCGCTTCCGCCACCGCCGATGCAAAGCAAAAGAGCTCGCAGATGCACCGCCGGTCAAGAACGGGTAAGCAGCACAGCACATCCCCCCCCCCTCTCTCCCAAAGTTTAGCATCACCGACTAACAAGCCAGGCTGCTACACATGCCGTCTGCGGCGCAAGAAGTGCGACGAGGGCACTCCTCTCTGCACAGCCTGCAAAAACCTCGGCCTGACCTGCGAGTACAAGCGGCCGCACTGGTGGGGCAACAACGAGGCCCGGCGCAACCAGAAGGACGACATCAAGATGATCATCAAGCGCAAGAAGCTGTCCGAGAAGGCCGCGTCGTCCATCCACACCTCCGTCGTCGGCTCCCCGCCGGGCCTGTCGCTCTCCAGCAGCTCCATGCCCACCTCTGCCACCTTTTCGGACCAGCTGGACCGCACCCGCTCCGCCTCCATCGACTCGCACTACGCCGCCGCCGCCTTTGACTTCAACAGCCCGCCCACCTCGTCTTCCGAGTACGGCGGTGTCATGACCAACGGCGACAGCAGCAGCGCCTTCTCGACGCCGCAGATGCACCCGGACTTTATGTTTGGCAGCGGCTTTGCGCCCTACGAGGTCGACATCAAGACCGAGCGCCAGATGTTTGTCAACGACGTGCCCACGCTGCACGAGTCCACCACCTCGACCTTCAGCACCTACCACACGCCTCCGCCGCCCGGCACCGTCCTGCCGCCCTACCCCATGCCGGCGATGGACGGCAGTGGCCTCGTGGTCGACCCGGCTGTCGGCCTGGGCATGACGGGCGTCCCCGTGGACCCGCAGCACATGCAGGCGGCTATGCCGGTTGTTCCTAGCGTCGGCGGCGGCGAGTGGATGGAGCAGGTGTATTCGGAGCGCCGCGAGAGCATGACAGAAGAGACACTCAACGTGAACTTCTTTGACTTCCCGCACGCCAACTCGCGCCAGGTCGCCATCGAGCTGGATGAGGGCGACCAGTGCCTGCTGGACCACTTTGTCCAGTACGTGCTGCCCACGCTCTTCCCCATTCTCGAGGCCAACCAGCACGGCGCCGTCGGCTCCGACCTGATCCTGCCCGCCCTGCAGAGCAACAAGTGCTACCTGCACTGCTGCCTGAGTGTCGCTGCGCAGCACTTGAAGGCGGTGCTCAGCAGCGCGCCGTCGGCACAGGCGCAGCAGGTGCAGGCGGGCAGCCAGCCCGCCCAGCTCGTGCCCACGGCCGACCTGGACGCCGACATCATGCGCCACCGTTACGCGACCATCTCGGCGCTGTGCCACGCGCTGCCGCGCGACGAGAACCACCAACAGGTGCTCGAGTCGGCGCTCGCCCTCATTTTCTTCCAGTGCAGCGTCGGTCGCTTCGACGACGCCCTGCCGGACGTCCCCTGGCACCAGCACTTCCAGGCAGCGGCCTCGCTCGTCCAGAAGCTGGACCTGCCCGCGCAGGTGACGGCCGCGACCACGGCGCCACCGGCGCCCGCCACGGCTGTCGAGGACGGCGCTGCTACTGCTGCTGTTCCTGCTGCTGCTGCTGCTACCACCGCCGTGCCTGTCGATGCGGGCACTGTGAGTGTGGCCACCACGGGCGACGCCACGCAGTCGACGCCCTTCAACATGACGCTCATGTCCTGGGTCGACATTCTGGGCGCCACGATGCAGGGCCGGGCGCCCGTGTTTGCGCACACGTACCGCGAGAAGCACCTGTCGCCGCCGCACCTGTCGTCGCTCGGCCTGCGCGAGCTCATGGGCTGCGAGGACCGCGTCATGTACCTGATCTCGGAGATTGCCTGCCTCGAGGCGCTCAAGGCCGGCGGCATGGACGACATCATGCTCTGCCACCACGTCAGCGTGCTCGGCGATCAGATTGGCCTGACGGAGATTGGCGAGGCGCCAGCCAAGCTGCCCTTCAACGCCAACGGCTCGCTCAGCCCCAAGCAGCTCAGCAAGAACATCACGGCCGCCTACCGGCTGGCCGCACGCATCTACCTGTGCTCGCTCGTGCCCGGCTTCTGCCCCTCGCAGGCCAGCTGCCGCGGCCTCGTCGACAAGCTGACGGCCGTCCTGCAGACCATCCCCTGCGGACCGGCCGGGTTCGACCGCTGCGTCGTCTGGGTGTATCTGATGGCCGGCTTTGCCTCCATGCCGGGCTCGACCTTCCGCGTCTTCTTTGCCGACCGCATTGCCCAGATGGGCGAGACGGCTGCCAGTGTGGGCTCCTTTGGCCGCGCCGTGTCGCTGCTGCACGAGACCTGGCTGCAGCAGAACGTGCTCATCCAGAAGCTGCTCGACGACCAGGAGCAGCGCCGCCAGCAGCGCCAGCAGCAAAAGGCGGCCGCGGCCGCATCGTTGTCGTCGTCGTCGTCGTCGCCGCCTGTCCCCGACACCGCCGACGACGAGGCCGACCTGCTCCCACCGCAGTATGTGCACTGGCGCGAAGTCATGCAGATGAAGGGCTGGGATTTCCTCCTCATTTGATTTTGCGATTTTTTTTTGTCTTTTCTTTTCTGTCCATTATACCCGGAGCTGGCTCCAATACCAAACCACAAAGACAAAAAAAAAAAATAGGGTGATGAGTTGGAAGAGAACAAAACGGACGCCGCAAGGCAAATTACTAGGGACGATTGGTTAGGAACAAACAACAGGGGACGATGGGAAACACACTTGATAACAACAGCTTCATTTTTTCTTTTCTTTTTCTTTTTTTTTGTTGGGTTTCTCATTTGGTGCATCATCTGGCGTTTTTTTGTATCTCATTGGCATTCCCAGGATAGGAAATAGGATATGGAAATCGGCATCAGGATGAGCTCGCACAGCCAGGACTCGACTTTGAGCCGGCAATGAGAAATGACAACCAAACTCTTCAAACATCAAACCACGTGTCCAACATGCAAGTGACAAAAGAGGCAGAGTAAAGGTAGAGTAAAGGAAAACAAAAATACAGAGTAGGAAACCGGATGAAATCAGATTGTATACAAAAATGCAAAGGATCAAGAAGCTTAAAGGGAGATGAACTTAGCTGGAGACAAGTAAACACGTCTTCCCACGTTTGGCGTAAACGGACGAGATGGAACGTATGAAGCAGTTGTAAATGTGCTGCAAGAGAGGACTGAACGAGAGGCATCATCACCCCATCACTCTTGCAAAGGGCCTTCCTCGCTTTCTTTATATCAACAACCTGGCGTCCCCCCTTCATCATGGCCTCGGATGGCCGGCGCCAAAGACAATATTTCTACAGCAAAACGGCGCCTAGCAACGAAATTTGACCGTCAAACAAAAACGACAGCATCGCGACAATATTGGCTGTCCACGAGCATCGCGAGGCAGACCTTGCCCTTGCCGCCGCCAGGCCCCGTGCAGAGGTGCGCGTTCGAAAATTACTGCCTTTGTTTGCTGAAGCGTTTCTCTTTGCCGGCGGTCGACGGCCTGCACCACCGCGGCCCGCGTTTCTCTTCGCGCCGGCATCCACGTCCGTCGTCTTCCAGCGTCTTGTTCTCGTGTGTTCTTAATTGCCTGTTTCGTCCCTCCGTTTGTTTACATTCAGCCGCTTCCAGTAAACAGGACAGCCAACGACTTCGTCTTCGTCTTCGCCTCTAGCGCCTTTCGCCCACCGCCCACCAGCCACAGCCCGCCTGCGTGTCCTGATTTGACGGGGCCTCGTCCAATCCGGCCATTTGCATACCGCGCGGCAGCAGGACGGCCGCCTTGCAAAACTCTGGAACTGTGGCTCTGTGGCTCTATGGCTCTTTGGGTCTTTGGCGACGACTGGAGATGAAAGCCCCAGGATGCCGGCGGTAAGGCAGATTGCAGGGTTAGTCATGGACAATGAGAAAGGTGCACGAGGGGACGTCCCGACAGACAATGCCGTTGTCATTAACCTTCTTTCCATTATTCTTCATCTTCTCTCAAATAGCCGCCTTGGGTGTCCTGATGCAAGACAACAGACAGGAGACCGAGCAGCCAGACTCGACTGTTCGACCCGGCTGCCCGTTTCACACATGGCGGTTAATCCTCACGACCGTCGACGCCTTGTCCATTCTTCCATCCTTGTCGATCCCCGTCTTCGCTCCTCGTTGAGCCTTTCATTCTTCCTCGTCGTTTCTTCCATCTCTGCATCGGCATTCACGTCATCGAACGACTGTTGGTGGCTCGTTCCGCGGCCGTGCTGCAGGCGCCTAGGTCCCAAGAATAGACACAGCATGCCGCATGGGCCGCGTGGAGAGTGGCCATGCACGCCATAACGAGCATCGCATCGTGACGCAACACGTGCTATAGCGATGTCTTCCACCCATGTAGGAAGCAGACGCATGCCTTGTCATTGTGGACGACCACGTGACGGCCGTGCACTTGTCGGTGCCCGTCTCTCCTTCTGCATCGTACCTCCTGTTTAGACCTTCCATTTTCGGACAGTTGCGCAACTGTCTGTTGCATACGTATCGCGTCGCCCTTTCCTTCTCCTTCCAAGCACCGTAAAACTGGAGTCACCTTATCGTTCCTTCCCTTTGCGATTTGGCCACTTTCTTGTCCCTCGTGGTCGGTTGTGCCTGCCAATTTTCATCTTTAGTCAGATTTTGGTATCATCCCCGTCCCAAATCCCCTTTTGTCCACCTTTTGTTCCCCCTTCATACTATCTTTGACCCTCCTTAGACGACACCTCGACGGCTTGCATCAGCCCCTTCACTCATCTCGTGCTCTCAATAGTTGGCCCTTTAGCTACTTCGACTTGCACTTACTACGGCCATGACTCTTCCGTTGCAACGTGGTCAGACGGGACCCTTGCCAGCGGCTCCTCTCTCCCTCTATGAGCGCAGCCGGCTGGCAACGAATAAGACCACGCAAAGCGTTTCAAAACCGACGATGCTCCAGCAGCAGAGCGGCTTGTGCGTCCTCTGGCCACGAATCACGCACGTTAAACCGGTTCGTATTCCCGCTTTTGAGTTTCTTGGCTCTCCGTGGCTCCACCTGCGACCACGGTATATCACACTGCTATATTTCCTTATCCTTGTTGCTCTTCATTGCTCATTGCCATTGTGCCCTCTCTCTCTCTCTCTCNNCNT